TTGGTGGGCTGAGAATCCATCAGGAGACTTGGCTGTGTGTTCAGGCTGGGGAAATCCTAGAACAAGGACCAGAGAGAGACTTTCTAAACTGTGGCACTCAGATTCACCCCACTGTCAAGTCTCACCTGTACCCTAGCTCCAAGGGCCAACTCCCTCGTGGACTTCACCACCCAGAGCAGAAAGAGGAGTCAGCTGTGCGATCGGTGACTGGCGTGGAGGAGATGTAGTGCTGTCAAGACAGGATTAGCTCAAAGTGTCCGAAAATGCGAAAGAAAAATGAAGTTTCTTTCTCATATAAATAAGGTTCGGAGGTGGACAGTTCAGAGCTGAGAGGGTGGCTTTACAAAGTCAACAGGATCTAGGCTATTATCAGTACCATTATCATTACTCTTGTATAATTTACATGTGATGAAATACACAGATCACGATGGGTTTTAAGAAATGTATGCACTGTGTAATCAACAGCCCAACCAAAATATAGGGCATTTCCATCATCTGGTGCCCTTTCCAGGTGACCTCCACCCCTCATAGGCAACCACTGTTCTGACATCTGTCACCATGGAGTGGTTGTGCTTGTTCTAGAATAAATCGAGTCATTCCTTTGTTTCTGGCTTTTTTCAGCATGACACTTTTGGGATTCATGGATGTTATTGTATGTATCAGTAGTTTGTTTATTTTTATTGCTGAGTAGTGTTCCATTGTAAGAATATACCACAGTTTCTTTATTCACCTATTGATGAACGTTTAGATTGCTTCCAGTTTGGGGCTATTATGAAAAAAGCTGTTATAAACATTTGTGTACAAATCTTTGTGTGGATATAGGATTTCTCTTGGGTAAATACCTAGGAATGGGATTGCTGAGCGTAGCGTAGGTATATGTTTAATTTTATAAGAAACGGCCAGTTTTCCAAAGTGATTCTGCGGTTTCAGGCTCTATCTTGTTCATCTACCATCGTCTATGCATGACTTCTAACTCATGGTATCATGTGGCTGCTTGAACTCCAGCCATCATATCCACATTCCAATACACAAAGAAGGAAGATGGAGGAAATGGTATGCTTCCCTAGCTTTAATAACACTTTCTGGAAGCTTCACAGAATACTTCTGCCTATATCTCATTAGCTAGAACTTAGCCACATGGTCACATCTAACTGCAAAGGAGGCTGGGACATGTAATTTTTAGTCTGGAGACCCACATGCTCAGCAACTAATTGGGGGCTTTATTATTGGGGAAAGGGGGATAGTGGATGTTGGGGGGCAAGAAGCAGCTTCTGCCAGAGATGGGTGGTCACAAATCAGGCAGGGACCATTTCTGTCTTGCTCAAGGCTGTTTCTCTGGAATCTGTCTTGAACGTTGGCTCATAGTATACGTTCAGTAAGTGTTTGTGAAAGGTGGAAAGACGGAGAGAAGAAGAAAGGGAAAAACAGTCATGGCAGCCAGCCCCATGACTCGAGAATGTCTTCTGGGGTCATATGCTCATCTTTGATTTCTGACATTGTTTCAAAACATCTCTTAGATGCAATTAAATGTCATTGTGTGGATTGTCAAGAAAGTCCTTCAGTAGCCTGATAGGTAAGGGACATTTTGACTTTGTTATCTGATAGAGATAGTTTGGGAATTTCGTTTCTCAGTGTAGAGTGGGGTGTGTGTGTGTGTACATGTGCATGCGTGCACAGGAAACCTTCTGAGGGCTTTTGCCTGTCAAGAGTCTCACAATCTGTATGGTGATAAACGTGTTGTCATCAAGGGCTTGTACCTTGAAATACTGAAATCAAGACTGAAATGCCTGAGTGGAGGGGAGAAAGAGAAAGAGAAAGAACGGCGCTGTTTTGGAGCAGAGTTGTGGCCACGGCAGGCAGCGGGAACTTGCCTCGGTGTTTCCAGCTGGGTGCCCCTTCAGCAAATGAGGGGGTCATCAGGTTATGTTATTTTATGGTACAAAAGCAGATACGGTCCGCTGCCTCCGCTCTACCCTGATAATTTTGTTTTCCCGGCGAGTTTGCCATCAAGGATCTGACATGCCATTAGGTTTTTATCTCTGTTGCCCAAGGATCTGGATGTGGTGCCTGGAGGTCCGCCCTTGGTATGAAGCCCTCCTCTGTGCTGCAGGAGAGGCAAGGTGGGTCATGGGGCCCTGCTCTGGTGGATAACACAGCTGTTCCAGGACAACGGGACTTATGGCAACCCACTGTGCTCACCAATTAATCAATGCACATAGCTTTGATTTATCTTCTTTCCTACATGTTCATTGGGGGAAATGTGGAAAATAGAGAAACATGAATAAAGAAGGAAATAAATCAACCTGTTCTCACCACCTCCACCACTGCTGCCCTGGTCAAACTGTCATCGTATCTGTTTTTACAGTGGCCTCATTGGTCTCCTTGTTCCTACCCTTGCCACTCATAGTCCATTCTCAACAGAGCGGCCAGAGGGATTATTTAAACCCTAAGCCAAACAAAGGCACTTCTTGCCCATAACTCTCCAATACTTCTCATCCCAGTGCAAAAGCCAAAGTCCCTGCAATGGCCTGCATAGCCCCCACAGTCTGCCCACTCTCACGCACCTCTCTGACTTCATCTGTCTCTCTCTCCTCCCCCACCTTAGGTCTGTCTCAGCCCCACTGATATCTTTGCTGCTCCTGGAACATGCCTGGCCCAGCCAGCCTCAGGACCTTTGCACCAGCCATCTCCCTTGCCTGGAGCACTATTCCCATAGACAGCCACATGGCCCACTCCTGAGTTTTCTTCATGCCTTTATTCAAATGCCACCTTCCTGGTGAGGTCTTCCCTGGACACCTATTTAAATTTCTAATGTCACCCCTTCCACAATTCCACATCCATTTCCCCTGATCTCTTTTTCTCCCTAGCCTTATCGCTGTCTGTCATAGTATAGATTTTACTTATTTACTTGGTTTTATATCTTCCTTGACTTGAATGTGACCTCTATGAAGGTGAGGTGTTTGTTTGTTTGTCTGTTTCTGCTTTGTACTCTGCTATGTTCACGGTATCTAGGAAAGCACCTAGTACAATGTAGGCTGCCAATAAATATCTTGAGAATAAAAGAACGAAGGAAGAAATGAATGAAAATCATCATATCTCACCACCCAAAGGCATCCACTGCTAAAGGTTGGCTATGTTTCCTTCCAGACTTTCTTTTATTAGCTTCCTGTTGACTGAGTTAAGTAGGAGTCCTATGGTCACCAAGAGGGTGCTGGAAGAGGAGGGACAGCTCTCTTATGGTCTGTCTCTGCCTGTGATCACCTTGGTGGAGGCCTGGGCCTCATCATGGTTGGCTCAGATATCAACACTTTTAGTTCTCTCAGGGATAATCAACCTCTGCAGGACTGACTCACACGAACCAGACTCATAAGAACCTGATGTATAAAACTAAAGACCACTTTACTCATTCCTACATCTTTCCAGTGATCCTGCCCTCAAGGAACTTTGAACACGACACTGAAAATCAGGGCTTCAGCTGGAGAAGGCAGACTTTGTTGATTGCCCACAGGACTCAAGACTTTAGGGACCTTCAAGCACTGAAAAGATTATAGTGCTCTGCATTATCCCATTTGTTATTCAAAGTGGTGCTCAATTATAAAACAATTGCAATGATACAATGTTCCAATTTTTCCCATTGGGACAACTTCAATTCTTTTACAAATATATGTTAAAAATCAAGTGCTTTTACAAATATATGTTAAAAGTCAAGTTGCTTCTTCTAAAAATCACCTTTGTTACTCCTGCTTTGTTGATACCCTGGGCATGTGCTTGGACTTTCTGTGGGACAATCACCTCTGATTGTCTCCGTAGGATGTTTTTCTCAACACTTGCAGCAAAAGGATCCTGACTTTTCCCTTGGAGACCCCTTCTCCATTTTCAGCCTGTATGACTTGTGGGGATGGACCTCCCTTCCACCTTTGTGAGTGGGGCCAATGAGATGTGAAGAGCAATTTGTTGGGACCTCTGAAAAAGTCCCTGGGCAGTGAGATGTGAAGATGCTTAAGATCTGGTGCTGAGTAGCATTTTGTTATCATAAAGGGGGACCTGGAGCAAGTAGGGGCAACCAGGTGGATCTGGAGCCAATGTGGCACAATGCAGAGAAGAGAGATGAAAAGAAACCATGTCTTGGTAGCATGATTTGTGCTGCTGGATCAAACTTTGCCTGAAGTCCACCTTTCTACTCAACTTTTTTACCAGCTATGAGAGCCAATAAATTCTGTCGTGGTTTAACTCAGTTTGAGTTGAGTTTTCTGTCATTTAAAATCAAAAGATTCCTAACAGATATACATTGGAAACACAAAGTATAGCATAGAGAATTGAACAAACTTCATCACCTTTCTAGATATATTAAGACTGACACATTCTAACAACTTTTTCTTTTAAACTCTATGAAGACTGCTTCATTTCTGTTCAGAGTCATATGTTAGTTGTTTTATAATTCATTAGATCGGTTCATAAATTCCATGAGGGCCAAAATTTTGTCTGTTTTGTCCACTGCTTTTTCTTCAGTACCTAAAACAATGACTGGCCCTCAGTAGACAAGGCATAAATATTGAGTGGCCACCTGCCTGCTGGCCTGACTGTATAAATGAATGAATGAATGAAACTGAAGCACAGATAGAGTGACCTGCCCTAAGTCGCATAGCTAGCTATTGAGATAAAAAGATGGCGAATCCACCATATTACCCCAGCAACATAGTTGGAACCTGATGTATAAAACTAAAGACCACTTTACTCATTCCTACATCTTTCCAGTGATCCTGCCCTCAAGGAACTTTGAACACAACACTGAAAATCAGGGCTTCAGCTGGAGAAGGCAGACTTTGTTGATTGCCCACAGGACTCAAGACTTCAGGGACCTTCAAGCACTGAAAAGATTATAGTGCTCTGCATTATCCCATTTGTTATTCAAAGTGGTGCTCAATTATAAAACAATTGCAATGATACAATGTTCCAATTTTTCCCATTGGGACAACTTCAATTCTTTTACAAATATATGTTAAAAATCAAGTTGCTTCTTCTAAATATCACCTTTGTTACTCCTGCTTTGTTGATACCCTGGGCATGTGCTTGGACTTTCTGTGGGACAATCACCTCTGATTGTCTCCCTAGGATGTTTTTCTCAACACTTGCAGCAAAAGGATCCTGACTTTTCCCTTGGAGACCCCTTCTCCATTTTCAGCCTGTATGACTTGTGGAGATGGACCTCCCTTCCACCTTTGTGAGTGGGGCCAATGAGATGTAAAGAGCAATTTGTTGGGACCTCTGAAAAAGTCCCTGGGCAGTGAGATGTGAAGATGCTTAAGATCTGGTGCTGAGTAGCATTTTGTTATCATAAAGGGGGACCTGGAGCAAGTAGGGGCAACCAGGTGGATCTGGAGCCAATGTGGCACAATGCAGAGAAGAGAGATGAAAAGAAACCATGTCTTGGTAGCATGATTTGTGCTGCTGGATCAAACTTTACCTGAAGTCCACCTTTCTACTCAACTTTTTTACCAGCTATGAGAGCCAATAAATTCTGTCGTGGTTTAACTCGGTTTGAGTTGAGTTTTCTGTCATTTAAGATCAAAAGATTCCTAACAGACATACATTGGAAACACAAAGTATAGCATAGAGAATTGAACAAACTTCGTCGCC